AAGATAGGTTGCGGAACTCTTTCCCAATTTCAGTGAACCTTCGCACATAATAGGACTAGTACTCTAGTTCTGTTTTTTTAAACTCATGTCTAGTGTTCTTGGAATGCAATGTAGAAAAAAAAAATCAAGGAAGTGGCAAACTTTTGTCAAGAAAACAACATGGACATGTGCATGAACTTATCAAGAGCTGACACTGACTTTAAGACCTTTTTGTTTGTTTTATAAATTCCCACAAATCCCTACTTTTGTGATCTCATACATTAAGAGACAACTTTTAATGAGAGACGAAGAAGAGTAAGAATAGCAAGTAGTAAACAAATGTTTATTCTTCAAGCAAGGTTCTTCTTGAATGCACCAAGACACCGAGTTGAGTTGGTAATAGTTAAGACATTCTTGACTGATAACAAACTGTAGTATTTTGAAAGACAGACTGTAGCTGCTCATGCAGTCTGTTTGAAAGAACATGCATAGACCAGAGTTATTGTAGGCTAGATCAACAATGATCTAAAGCAAATTTTTTTTGCATGAATGCTAGTTTTGAAGCCCTGCAGCTTTGCATGCATATACCACTGGTATTGGTCATTTCAAAATACAAGTATTTAGAAGTACAAAAACAGGAAGTTGGATCTTTAACCAGCATTCATGTAATACATATTTCCTGAGAACAGTGTGTGCCATGTATCTTTATAAGATCATCTGCATTCAATGCAACACAGTAAACCAAACCTAGCAGAGCATTTCTCTCAGCTAAAGCGTGTGGCTCTCTATATATCAGCAATCTTCTAGGACACTGTTGATACCCAATTTATTTTAAACAAAGGAATGCAATCAAACATTTTTTTTTCTTTCGGAAAATTTCCAATAACTGGTTAACAAAATTTATAGGTGTGCAAAATCAAAGCCACTAGACATTCCAGTTGGGGGAGTAACTAGAATTGGTGATTTTCCACAATGAAAACTGGTTTAAAACTCCGATCATGTTTATATTGAGGGTACAGTAGTGCAAACTCATATTTAATGCATTACAATGTTTTTGCCATTTTTATTTAGCAATTGGGAAGATGTTTACTTAGAATGAAATTTGCTTGTCTAGGAAAAGAGTTTAGAATTTCAGCTTTACACACTGAAATAATGGCACTTGCAAGTCCTTTAAACCACCGAACTTGCTTTTGAGTAGACACGCATAGGATTGCCCTGTGATTAACTGGAATATTGATAAGGAAACAATGATAAACAGAAGACCAATTAATAGGGGATACTTGTTGACAAACAGAATCCATTCTAAAGCTTGGTTCCCACCAAGGCAATCAGCATTATGGCAAAACTTAAATGTCAAATAAAGATAACAAACTATGCTTCACAGTATGCAAAAAAGAGTATGCTTTGAACTGATCCTGACAGAGTTAAGCATATTGTTGCACCCACAAAGTTTATGTGCAGGCTGGAAAGCTTTTGTATTTATGGGGGGGCAGCATCAGTGTTGACATGTGCAACATTCTTCTGGGATTAAAATACATAGGAAACCAGTGATGGAAAGGTCTGGAAGTGCTCTGGCATTTCCATCTACACAAGCAATTGCTGGATCAAGGAATCAATAACAATAGTAATTGATTGTTATAATGTAAGACATCAGTTATATGACAGAAACAGAGGAAGGAAAACTTCTTGGGAACTAGAATAATGGTATGGACATTATAATTAAATCACTGATGGTTCCAAGTGAAAGATAAGATGTATTTCATGCAAATAGTATAATATCACATCTATAAACCATTTCTTTACATGAGATATTTTGCTGTGCTTTGCTATATAACGATACAAAACCTGGACAGCAGAACACATTTTAAACTTACTTTGGTTGATATAAATAAGAAACTTTTCTATACCTGAACATTTTATTAAAAAAATGCAGAACTTTTGGGGGTTTTGCATATAAGTAAATCTTGCACACTTGTTTTAGTTTAGTGCTTCATTTTCTTCCTTATTTAAAAAACCAAGAACAGCAATTAATAAATAATTGTTGTGATAATCATATCTTTAACACTTTCTAAGTGTTAGTGTTGTCTGGTTCAGGCAGTTGAGAATCAAAGTTTGTATCACCATAATCCATTCACTTATTTTGAAGGCGTTTTTAGATGCATCTTGGCAAGAGATTACATTGTGCAATAATTTAATCCTATTTATCCTCTTACTTCCTTAATTTGATTTTAAAGAGAAAAAAGTGTTGCAAAAGTCCTATTGTTCCCTATCTTTTTTCTTGAAGAAGCAGATCAATGATGTTATACCTCACTTGCTGCATAAGCAGGAGCTTGCATAAGGTAAATAATAAAATTGGTTTCATATTTGCTACAGACTGAGACACTTCAAGTTGACATTTTTGTGAAATATAAAATATCCACACAGATATACTTCAGCATGCTACTTCGGCATGCTACGTTAGAACATGGATAGGGCTGTTCACTTAAGAGGTATGAGGAAATGGCCTTTAGTTGCACGTTGAATATCAAGAGCAATGGAAAAAGCCACATATTTCCCCCAAAGAGTGCGTCATCAAGGGCAGTGCAATGGTAAGTCAGCATCCCAAGGTTTTGGAACTGGGGAAAAGAACACTCATGCAGCTTTATGCACATAAAAATATGTGCAGAATGAGCCATACGAAATAGGCTTGTGCATTCAGCTGACGCTCTTCCAGGGCAATGTAATTTTCTTTGTATAAGACTTTTAGCTGAGACATACATTGCTCTGTAGGAAGAATCCAGATCCCTCATGCAGTAGAGGATCACTGAATCCTGGCCTGAAGCCTTGCTATGTATGTGCGTGTATGTGCATGTGCATATACATACCTACATGTACACACACACACACATATGGATATATATATATATGCACACAGGCATATACATACATATATACACAGAGAAAGACACACACAATATATGTGTGTGTGCATGTGTATGTCTATATATACACACGTGTACATTGAATTATACACACAAACCAACAAGAAGTGATGTGCAAAACATCAAACTGCATAGTAAATATTGAACAGGCTGACCTCCCTTTTAACATCCACAATCTCAGCAAGAGACAAGGATAAACCTGACAAAACGGGAAGCCTTACAGACTGTTACAGCATCAACGGATGGCCACTAAGGCAACAATTAATCTTGCTTGATTTTTTCATTCATTTAAGCGGACAGAAGGGGTAGAAGTAGTGAATAAGCACATTATTTTTTTTAAAACCCTTGTTATGAAAGTTTAACAAGTAAATAATGGATTCCACATTTCCTCAGGTCTGTTGGGTTTATTACATGGTTGCCCAGTAAATTCTCCTCTTCTAGTACTTCTGTTTCTCTATAGTCTGTCTTGAGCACAGAACAGGAAGGAAGCAGAACGGCTCATTGTGTCTGCTGGTAACAGGATTTGTTTCAATTTTACAAGAAGCTTGATAACATTACTTCCTTACATCAACGCATGTACACAGCTTGATTCTGTTGCCTTCTTTCCAAATCCCACCTTCATCTTGACTTCTGGAAATGTTCAGTCATGATGCTGCTGCTGTTTCCCCCCCTTTTCTTTCTTTCTTTCTTTCTTTCTTTCTTTCTTTCTTTCTTTCTTTCTTTCTTTCTTTCTTTCTTTCTTTCTTTCTTTCTTTCTTTCTTTCTTTCTTTCTTTCTTTCTTTCTTTCTTTCTTTCTTTCTTTCTTTCTTTCTTTCTTTCTTTCTTTCTTTCTTTCTTTCTTTCTTTCTTTCTTTCTTTCTTTCTTTCTTTCTTTCTTTCTTTCTTTCTTTCATCAGCTAAGGCCATTCATGGTGATAGTGTCTACCATTCTTTTTTCGTTCTCTCTGCAAATGCTCTAGCTCAGCCTCATACATCATTTCCTGAACTAAGTATTTCTCCCTTCTCATTCTGTCACACAAATCTTTGGGCATATCTGGAATCAGGTAGGCAATGAAAGATTTTATTCCAAAAACTAGATGCTGAAAGAGAGAGAGAAAGGAGAGAAGGCATTTTAAAAATGCTTATACTGATCTGACTTTCTTTGGAATTCTACAGTATGCTTCCTTGAAAAACCAACCCAGAATTTACATGCAATTATTAGTTACATTGTGCTGAAATTTGTCCTTCAGTGTGTGTGTGTGTGTGTGTGTGTGTGTGTGTGTGTCTACAAAGGGGAGTTAAAACCTGCAAGCTGGCAGGCACAACATTAGGATTAAAGCCTTGTCTTGCATGTCCCATCACCATGCCATACTCACCATCTTGATTTCTCCCTCATGTCCTTCAGTTTCCTCAAAATGTCTTTCTTTGTGGAAGAAACTTCTGTTGTTTCTTTAGTTTTCAGAATACTTTAACATTTCTTTGGAATATTGAAGTGTTACTAGGTTTTAGGGGGTTATATATTTGGTTATTTTTTGGGGGGTCATATATTTGATGGGGTTTGGGGGGGTCATATATTCAGGGATCATATTTTTGCCATCCCACTGCCTCTGATGAAGTGAGCTGAAACTCACAAAAGCTTAGGCCTTTTAATACAATTTGTTAGTTGGAAAAGGTGCTACCAAATTCCTGATTTTTTGCCATCATAGACTAACACAGCTCTCCTCCTGCAACGTCTACAACTAAAGCATGGAAAGCCAGGGAAGCTGTAGATAAATATATGATTGCAGAATGAAACAGGACACTCAGAGAACCTCACTGGGTACCTTGAGGTAACTCATGCTAGTACTAGAATTCTGCCCATCTGCCCATTTTTAACAATTTAAGTCTAATTTTTAATTTTAAAAAAATTGAAAGCACGTTTTCCATCAAACTGAATAACTAAAAATAGCATTGTTTTCAGTATAACACTAATAATTATTATTGTGTCTATATTAACCCTTTTAATTTCCTTTGTCCTATTGCTGATAGGTAAAGAAGAAAATGGGGTCTACTCTAACCAAGAAATATGATAAAGGCTTGAGATCTTTCACCATCTGCTTTCAAATATACATATGGACTTCTATGTAAGAGGCGGGATTTCTCACAGCACACAAGTGTGGTCCTTGTCGAAGAAAAACTTGCTTGCGGAATGAAATTAAGTTGATGTATCATGCCTTTGAAGGATTGATAAATTTCTATAACTCAATATTGATTAAACCTCTTTTACATTAATAATGATTACATTGTATTTCAATTAAGCCTTCTATAAATTCTTCAGCATTTGGACACTAGGGACACAAGTCTCTGTTTTGAAAATCCAGAATAGATGTTTTGGATAATTCCATATATCATAAAATGTGGTTAAACACACATGTGCCGTGTATTTGTGCATGTGTATGTGTGTGCATGTGTGTACATGCATAAGATGGTAGGCACTCATGTGCTAACCAATGTTTTTAGCCTAGCACGTCACATGAACACAGCCATCATTGCTATACATAACCCGCTCCTAGAGAATTAACAAAAACTTTCATGGCTTCTTTCTTTTGTTCCCCCCCCCCCCCTGCATAAGACAGCTAGGTGGATCTCCATTTTCTTCTCAGTCCAACTAACCTCAAATACTATAATGAAAGCCAGTCGAGCTGCTAGAACATGCCAGAACTGCAAGGTGAATTCATATGGAGTTGAACTCCATGGAGGTGCTCTATAATCTCTGTACCTGTAACAGAAACAAAGAAGAACAGCAGTTGAGTCTGTCTCTCCATCCACTGAACCTTTTCGTATGCCCATAAGCACACCTATGCACACCCAACCACATTCCTAGTTACATGCATATATACAGTGTGTGTGTATGTGCACACATATGTTTCCATACCCATCCACCCACATACATATAAACATATACATATATATGCATAACACACACACACACACACAGATATTTATGCACCATCATAAGAGAGAATGACTGCAGAGGTAACCATGTTTATATAAGAAAAGTGTTGGATATTTTATTATTTATCAGGTTTTATTGATTATATTGAATTTCTGGTTAATGATCATAATAGTTTGTTGAGAAATGATAGATAGATAGATAGATAGATAGATAGATAGATAGATAGATAGATAGATAGATAGATAGATAGATAGATGAATATCTCCAGATAAAGACATGGCAAATGGAAAGAGGAAAATGAATATGTGTTAGCTTGCTTCCCAGATAACTGTAGCTCAAGCCCCTTAAATGCAAGTCGGTTTAGGCTGCATCAGGCAGAAGCATAGTATAAAAGGTGATCCTTCATTATTTATGGGAGATCCACACCACATGCAGTGGGGACATAAGTAGCGAGGAGGAGGACTTTGCTGAGATTTATTTGACAAAAAGAGATGGATGGTTTGTTTGTTTGTTGTTTGCAGCCTTTCTCAAAGGACTAGCTGTTTCTCTGCTTGATGGCTTTGTTGCCGAACCTTACTGAGATCTTTGCTTCTGTCATTTTTACCTTCACTTTGCTGGGGTTTGATATGTATCTTTTATTAAATACTACATTGCTATAAGTAGCTTTCAGCCCTAGAGACTTAGGGGTATAAATACTTTAGATCAATTAAAAATGATAAATGCATAAAGCACAAAAATAATTGATGGAATTCACTTAAAAGTTACGTAGTGTGACAATTTCAGCATCTCTTACTCAATCCCCACACATACGGACACCTTCCAATTTGCATGGCTCAGCTTAACAATTCCATTAATCAAAAGTTAAAAAGCAGCTGTAGAATCCAAGATTTTGGCAGGTTTCCTCAAACAATTAGAACAATGTCCATGCTGGCAGTTAGCAAGACATGCTTGGAAGACATACCTGCAGTATCCTGAATATCCCTTGCCGAGTTCACTCAGATCAAATATTGATAAGCTACTGTTAACGTATCCCTTCAAACATCTAGGAGGTGAAAAGATTAATTAATACATTTGGTCCTAAAGAATGACTTTGTCATGAACTGGGCATGCAAAACATGTTTCATTCTCTCTCTTTGTTCTTATCCATGCATGCCTACGCATGTTATGGCATGCTGGTCATATTTTCAGTGGATGATGAGGACAAAATGTCATAGAAATTTTCACATGGGGTAGCAGGAGCTATGCTGCAAGAAAACCATAAAGCTCTGAATATGTATGGTGAAGTTTATGCTTTGGCAATTGATGCATGCACGTATATATTCTTTGGCTTAGAAGTCAAAACTCAAGCTAAATCAAAACCTCCTTCCTGTGCTTTACTTTACTTGCTGTGCTTTACTTTAGTAATTATGGGAATGCTGAATGAAGCCAGTCTCCTTCTCAAAGTGAATAAGGGTGTCAAATTGCACTTCTGGACATGATTCTGGTAGATTGCCCCTACTATAGAAATCCTCATTTGGAGTTCTGGACTGGAGGCATTATTTTCACATGATGACCTCCCTGGTGAAATAATGGAAGCCAGGGTATCATGGACAGTTAAGATAGAAGGGAATAATATCTCTATTTGCTAAATAGTTATTTGGTTGATGGATATTTAGTACACATCCTACAAAGAGGCATTAGCACATGTCAAAAAATGTAAGGTAACATTGATACCATGGAAGCTTCTGTTTTTATCTAATTTATGCTGTTTTCATGCAAGGCTGATTTAAACTCAATAAATATATATTTTTGTTCTTGCTCAGATCTGAGAGAAAATGTTGATGAAATGAGGACCATGCCAAGGCATTTTCATGGTAACGTTTATTGAGGTCATGGGCTGAGGCTTAGAATAGAAGCTCATCTGCTCATTCCTTTATAAAAAGGATTGAAGATTATCTGGGGAAAAAGGTTAGAGCCGTAGCATGGATAATGGAGCAGAATTAGAGAAAGAAAAACTTCTCTGTATGATACAATGACTCCCCTGGTATACCTACCTATTAAATGTGTAACTGTAAAGCCAAAGAATCAGAAAACATTGTCAATTGAAATTTGAGAAATTGTAAATAACAAAAATATATACTGATTTTATGAAAATGAAATATCAGACTATTAAACTATAGATGGTCTAGTTCAGAAGTAAACAACCTGATTACCTCTGAAAGTTTTGGACTTCAACCATAGCTGATACATTGGTCATGAAGGTTGTAGCCCAAAACACATGGAGGATCATAGGTTGTTTCCTTTTAACATAGGTGGTCTACTTTTGACATTGTAGATTATCTGTATTTTGTGACATTAATTTGTAGCAGTGGGCTGATGAAATGCTGGGTGTAGTGATATCAGGATATGAGATACTCTGAAATAGATGTTCTGAGAGTGGGGAATGGGAATAGGAGATGTGATGTACAGCTTCATTTTTCTAAAACCATTTTCATGGTTCTGGAATACAGTTTCATCCTAAGTAAGGACCTGGTGAAACTTGCCATAGTATTTTCTTTGTGTGTTTATTTCTCATAGTGTAGCATGGATATTTTAAAAAAATCTTTAGAGTTTGGAGCATATTAAGACACTGAAACTGTGCAGCTGTTCCACTAAGTATGATAAACCTAAAATCAATATAATTCAGATGCACAGGCTGAAGATACTGATTCTGCAGATACAGACTGGATCAGATGGTTGATTCCCGAGTTTCATTGGAAGGCCTCGGTATAGATGTCATTTGTTAAAGTAACAATAAGAGGCAAATTGCAACATATAAATGCCCCAAGGAGGTAGGTAAACCTGCTGACAAACTTTATGAAAATGCAAATGTTAGGACATCAGTTTAAAAGAAATATAGCAAAGGCAGAATTACTTTTCCTGTCTGTATCCTTCGTTGACACAAGGGCCATACTTGTACGCATAAACAAAACGTGGGATATAGTCTGAAGTAATAGCAATAACAAAAGCATTGGTGATTACAGCTAGGACTCCTATTCCCTCGAGGATACCATACCAGATACCTAGAAGGGAAGAATTACAGTAAGACTAAATACAAAGCTGATAAGCACCATAAAGATCTGTTCAGTTACATAATAGAATTAAACAGCAATTCCCAACAGTCCTGTGCATCCTGCCCTTCATTTGAATTAGTCTAGGAAACAAACATCCATTTTCAGAACCAGTCTGTGAACTTGCTCTTGGCTGTCACAATAAATAATATTCCATTTCAGCCTCATTTATAATTCTAACACTATACATGTATGGAAAGTGATGGTTTCATACTATATAGACTTGTTATAGGAGTCTCTGCTGAATGTTAGCAATATACAGATGGAACAACTGCTTGTTCAATTCAATTATTTGTGTTTTTACTCAGAATGGAGGCAAGTCTCTGAGGGTCCCTTGTTCAAAGTCTTTAGGTCTTTAAAAACGAGTTTTCTTCCCATTTCAATCTATCCAACAGTATCAGTTTTACTAGGGAAAAAAACATACAGAGATCTATGCACATGTAACTTACTTTTAAAATGTTTAAAAATGCAAACTGCTTTGTGAAATAAAATTTTACCCACAAAACATTCACAATGAGAAAATTGCAACAAATCCATAATAAACAATTTCTGCTGAAGAAATCTAATCTTTGTGGATCATATATAAACCAACCTCACCAATGTCCGTTGCTCTTGCAGGCATCGGCCTCCTCCACTGTGTGACAAATTTATATGCGTCAAGCCTGATTTCTATAATATTATTAAGCAAAGCCAACAAAGGTGCTAGTGGAAAAGCAGCAACAAAGATCGTAGTAAAGCCAAACTGCAGAACTAGAAAGAAAGTTCACATAGTTAGAAAGCAGAAAACTGGTAAACAAATCTTCTAGCATCCATCAAAAGAAATATCTCCTCTTCTATCAAAATGCTTACCCATTTCCAAGTATTCATCCATCAGACCATGGAGATTCATGGGCTGGAGATTCCAATCCTTTTCCCACTGAGATAGAGACATTTTATGCTCTAATAATTGTCCTCCTTTCTTGATCTTGCGTCGTGACCACCAGTTCTGGAGTAACCTACATTAGATAGCCAGAGCATGAGATCTGTAGTGTCATCTGCAGGAGTTTTTTTCCCCAAATGATGTCTGGATTCACCACTCTCCTCCTTAGACCACCTAAAGAAAGGAGATCCCTGTTTGTGCAGATGGTCCTATCAAGACCTGATGAAGTAATTATCATCTTGATGGCCTGTGCAAATTCTCTTTGAACTTCCTTCTTAATAATGTATCATTATTAAAAACTATCCAAGGCAGAATAAATATTGATTTTGTGATTGCCCTGCATCAGGGTCAACGCTACTAAAATAAATATTTTGAAAACAGGGTTTGTTCAAGTTGTAATGGAAGATTTCAATACATATCCCAAAGGAAAGAGTAAATCCTGCTCTTTCTATTGGTATGCCTCCTATATTTTTTAAAAATCTTTCTCCAACAAATAAAATGAACAAAACAGGGCCTTATTTTTATCTTGCTCTGGCATTATATTTAACATTAGGCAGAGATGGATCTGTCTATTTTTAGATGATATGATTCATTAATCTATTCAGTCCCTACATTTCTACATCAATCTGAGTGATTTGAAACAAAAATCTGCACAAAATGGTATTCAATATATACTTAAATAACTATTTTGAACATATTTTCTCATACATATATTTTCTCTTGAGGTGTACATGTATAAACCTACTGTATCTTAACATCTGCATTTTATATTTACTGAGCCAAGAAACAGAATGAAAATTTGGAGTCACTGAAATTCAGTGGCAACTGCATTTCTATCAAAATTCACAAAGAACATAATTTGCAGAGAATAGGCTTCTATTTTGTAGAAATATAAAGATACTATGTATCATACTTACGGATAACCAAGTTCCATGAAATTGTTCCACATTTGTTTTAAAACCATGATTACACCCATTTGCAGACACAGGTCTATTAAACAGCCACTTGGATGACACTGTGGGAAGAAATTAGTAAATTTATATATGCAAAATGATTTTTTAAAGCCATCCCAGAAGGCAATTTAATCACTTAATTAGTTTATCTCTTATGTCAAGCAAAATTATTTTATATCATTTAATGATTTATTTATCATATTTACAGTATATGGCCATCCATCTCACAAACCATGACTCATGATGATGATGATGAGTCATCAAGTCAGTGTTGACAAGGTTGACAACACTAGAAAGCAGAAGTATTTAGCCCACCAGCAGCCGTAGAAGTGAATAGTTATGGAAACTAATGTTAAATTGCAGTGGTTCATAAATTAAAATGAAACTGTGTGAATAAGAAAGACTATTACCTCTTCCAATCTCCATTTGTTGAAAAGTTTGTTGTACATTCCAGGACGGCCAGCAAATCTGAAATATAAGATTTCTATTCCTCAACTAAACATAGCATGAAGAGAAAATTGATACAATTATGAGTTTATAAATCAAAACAGTTTAAACATAATTTAGGATGATGTTGAAATTCTGTACCTATCTTACAACACAATCATATAATAACTTCTAGAATACCCTATTAAAAGAGATGGATTATAATCTTACTTTTTGTTGTGATGCATATTAAAAGCACTCCATTTCAGATTTCTGATGTTTAGCATGAAACTGTTTACATTGTTTTGAATCTGACAGTGATGTCAAATGCTATGTCTGACCATAGACATAACTCTCCATGAAACAGCAATGAGAACAATGAGTACCAAATAGAGCATGAAAAATCATACAAAAGAAAGTCAAGAGTTAGACTGAAATTGTCAGAGGAAAAAAGATGCAATCAAGAGTACTGAAACAATGCAATCATGGCATTTGCAAGAGGAGTGCAAGTGAGGAAAAACAAGTTGTAATGTCACAATGCAAACTCTGCCCCTTTCAGACTTGTGTGCAATACTGCCCATTTTGTCATTTTGTCATCATCACAGTTAGGAACAGATGTCTATAAATGCAATTCCCATGTCACAATATGTATTCACCAAAGATAATTCCCACCATTTATCCCTATAGGCAATCCATTGATTTCAAATGGTAAGTCCCTGGTCATTTGCTTTGCAAGTAGGATACAAATGAAATAGAATTATAATTAGTTAATTATAATGAGCTTCAAAAGCATGTATAACATATAATAGATACAGTGGAACCTCGGGTTACGAACGCTTCTGTTCATGAACTTTTCGGGTGACGACCAG